AAGTTATGATCTGTTCACCTTAGTATACTTTATACAAATTTTTATATCAATTACTAATATTGTGTGTCAATGTATCACTTATATCATTTATAAATCTTAAATTAATTAAATATATTTAATTATTTTCAAATAAAATATAATTAATATCCTTAAATAAATAATATAAAGTAAATATATATATTTATCAATTGAAACCATATAAAATTAGAAAAAAAAATCTAAAATTATATCATTTCAATAAACTCTAATAAAAAAAAAAACCCTCAAATAACATATCTTTAGGGGAAAAATGAATATTATTTTAGGTTAAATGCCATTCTTAGTTCTTAAACTTTTTTTTGTACTTTTTTGGTACCTAAATTATGAAAGATACATTTTTTTTTAGTCATTCTGTTAATTAATTCATTAATTATATACAAATATGCATATTTTTAGTTCTTAAACCTATAATATATGCACATTTTAATCCAATTTAAGGACTAAAAGTATACATATATGGATAAATTTAATGGATTAATTAATGAAAAATTAAAAAAATACAATTTTCATAATTTAGGACTAAAAAGGTGTAAAAATATAATTTAAAACTAAAAATGTTCAAAATTAAAAGCTTGAGAACTAAAACTAGTATTTAACCTTTATTTTATTTCTTTTTTCATAATACTTTATTAAACCGTCATGCCTAATCTTTTTGCAAGCTTGACCAAAAAACACTAATTAATCTCATATAAAATACAATTTCTTCTTTCATATAGTTACATATATCAAATCAATTTTAGATTAGAAACATAAAATACACATGAATAGAATATCAAATCTAAATAATATATTTGATAAAAATATAAATTATACAAAGAATTTCAAAGAGTATAAAATCATATATAAGTTATAGTAATCCAACATGAACTTGACTATTTTTGAATTTTTTTCTTATCAAGATAAAATTATTTATCTTGAGAGTTGGTCACAAAGAGATAAATAGTCATTTTACCTAGGTCGTAATTTTTTTTTTCTAGAAGATTCGAAATAATTCTTATAAGTCAAATATCAAAAACCATGTTTATAGTAAAAAAAAATTAATGTACCTTATTAGCCATTTTTCCATAGCTCCTATGGCAGCTCCATCCCTGCATAAACACTAATCTCAATCCATTGGCAGAGCTAAGGAAGCGCCAAAGTTTTTTTTGTAAACAATAATGCTAGTTATAATATCATATAAGATTGTAAATTTATAATATGATGTGGTATTAAATAAGTGTGATATATTTTTAAATAAGTGGATACATATAGTATCATGAATGAATCATTAAATAAAAAGAACTAATTATATAATAACACAATAAGTGCATACATATAATATCACAAATAAATCATTAAATAAAAAGAACTAATTATATAATAATATATTATGTTGTAAGCTTAACTTACAATACCATGTGACGTTATAATTATAACTTTTTTGTTTCAAAAAGTTAGAAGTTTGGTTCCAAAATTTTATTTTTATTATTTTTAATTTATTCTAAATAATTTTATATCATTTCATTTATTTTTTATTATTAAAGAACACTTTTAAGTGATAATGAAAAGGTTAAGGAAAAAATATAGATAATACAAAAATTTTTTAAATAAGCATTAATTAAATAAAAAAATATTCAATATAATCCTTTCACAAAATGTTTACTAATAACATTTTATTTTGCATTTTTGTAGAAGTGTTCTTTACTATTATATATATTCGTTTTGTTCTTCAATTGATGGCATTTATATTACTTTATCAATTGTTATTAATTTATCATTAAAAATTAATAAATTTTGTTCATAATAATTTTTAAGAAATTTTTCTCTTTTATCAGCTTTTTAATTTATATAGATGCACCATTTTTCAATCAATGTATTGTTTTGTCCCCCAAAAAATATTTCTGGCTCTGCAAAAAGTCTCAACCTCTAAAATTATAATGTCTTACAAAACATCAAGTATTTCTAAAATAGGGAGTTACTATCAATTTTAAACAGGTATTATGGAATTCGATGTCGTGCTTTTCTATTGATCGTGTTTGTGCCCGTCGCAAAATTGCCCTCAACATAAAGGAAATCAATCAAAGAATAGATGATATTGTGGAGGAGAAAGCGAAATATCATTCGCTGTCGATGTCAATAAGTAACACAATCAATCATCCTCAACAACGGCCAGAAACTTCATCTTTTGTGGATGTGTCAAAACTATGTGGTCGGGATAAGGAGAAGGCAGACATACTAAACTATTTGTGGGGAGGGAGTGGTGAAGAGGAGGCTGGTGAAGTAATCCCTACCATATCTATAGTAGGGATGGGGGGATTAGGAAAGACAGCTCTTGCACAACTGATATATAATGACAATGAAGTTAAAAAGCATTTTGACAGGGTAATCTGGGTTTGTGTCTCTGACCTTTTTGATGAGAAAAAAGTTGCAAGGGCAATCATTCAAGGGCTTGAAAAACTTGGTGATGGTGCTGCATACGGTCTAGAATCAAATCCATTGCAGTTCCTTTTGGAAAGGATTTCTAACTCTATCCAGGGAATGAAATATTTTCTTGTTTTAGATGATGTTTGGGATGGAAATAAAGGTGAGAGGTGGGAAGGACTGAAAACCACTTTCAAATTTGGTGCCCCAGGAAGCAGAATTTTGGTTACTACACGCGATGTTACAGTTGCAAAAATGATGGGGTCCTCTTCCTCACAAATCATTTTTCTGGAGAAATTGACTGACGAGCAATGTTGGTCAGTAGTTAAACATATTGCATTAGAAGGAAGGGATGATCAGAATTTGGAGAAAATTGGGAGGGAAATTGCAGAGAAGTGTAAGGGGTTACCGCTTGCTGCAAAAACTCTAGGAAGCCTTTTAAAGTCTAAAAGAAGC